ATTAGATTCATCTTAATTCTTCTTCTTCTTATCTTCTTATTTTGATCTGACATCATCCAATTGACTGGGATTCCACACCATCAATTGGATCTGATTGATACACAAGCAATTTTGGGGACTTACAATTGGTATCAGAGCTTAGATTGTATCAGTCAATTTTGTTAGATTTGGAGCTTATTTGATCTTATTTTGAGAAGATATTCTCATTTTTGGATAGATCTCTAAAAAATAAGAGGGATTTCTTCTTTGCATTTTTCATAAAAACGAGTTTTTGATGGAGTTTTAGAGCAAAAAAGGATGAAAAATGTCGTTTTTTCGCAAATCTGTTGAAGGTGTGCGGCCAGGGAGTGTACGACCCCGGTGTGTGGCTCGGACGAGTGTGACTCATCTTCGTTCAGCGCGTTCAGCGTTCAGCATTCAGCATTCAGCGCATCCTCTAATTAAATAAAATATTGGACTGGAGGGGGATCGAACCCGGATCCCCTGATTGACAAACCCCACGCCTTACCATCTCATCTAGCAATCTTCCCTTTTTAATTCATAAAGACTCCATATCGATTCTAATTTTGCATTTTTGACATATTTTATCTAAAAATTAATTTCCTTTATTTTCGACTTTCATTTTCAACCAAAAATATTAGTTTTTAATTTTTGACTTTTATTTTTGACTTTGACTTTAAAATTTGACCTTTGACTTTTAAAATTTGACCTTTAACTTTAAACTTTGACTTTTTTCGTTTAATTTTTAGATTTTCAAATTTAGCCTTTCGGTTTGACTTTTTATTTTGACTTTTCACGTTTGATTTTTTTTTTTTTAATTTGAATTTTAAGGTTGACTTTCTCGTTTTGTTTTTAAGTCAAAGGGAAATTTAAAAAAATTAAAAAAAAAGGAAAATGAGTTCCACATCAATTCAGGTAAATGAATCCGGTTGCTCTCCATCTTGTGCTAAAACTATGAAATTTTTGCGAGAATCAATAGATTTAATCAAGAGAGAGAACGAGGACTTCAAATATGAGGGATACACACTTAGGAAAAACCAAAAGTCCTTAAAGACTCAACTAGAAAATAAAATAAAGCACTTTAGGAAATTACAAGAGGATTACAGCAACAAATGTAAGAACAATGACCATATCAAACGAAAATTTGAAGCTGTGACCGCTGAACTTGATTTATTGAAAACACGTTTTGAAAATGCTGAATTTAATTTTAAAAAATTTGATGGGTCAAGCGATGTTGTTGCGAAAATAATAGAAAACCAAATGCAATGGAAGGATGTCACTTGTGGAAACCAAAAGAAAGTAGGACTAGGTTTTGAGAGTGTCCCTCCTCCCTTCAATCACAACTATACTGCAAAACCTTTGATCCAGGAAGAGATTGACCGAGAACCATTTATGGTATATGGTAAACCAGCTGTTGAATAGGAAACTGAGGGTGCTGAGTTGAACGATACTAATACTTCTACTTCTTGTGCAGGCAAAGTAATAGAGGATGAGAACAAGGAGAGTTCTACTGAACAAACAAACGACCCCTTGAACTCTGAATCTGTTGCTTCTAATCAACCTGTTGTTGGTAAATACAGGCCACCATTTCAAGCTAAACAGAGGGCCTGTTGCAACTATGCGTGTGGGAAAAGCAAGAGACAAGGCAAAGACACGCTACCAGGGGCAGGAAGAAACAACTCCACAGTGAAGGAAAAGACATGTTTTCACTGTGGAACACCTGGACACATTGCCATAAATTGTCCTAATCGCGCGTACGTTCCCTACTATGCACAAGGGTGGAAGAACGCGCCAAGAGGGAGATACTCCAAAAGAAACCCATCAAGGTCACGTTCAGACAATGGTGATTGGAATGCCACGAAGGGCAAAAGTTCAACTCCCAAAGCCAAGAAATCAAATCCCAAGGTCAAGAAGGGAATGTCGGCCAGGAAGTACAATCCAAGAGATGATCCAGTGAAGTAAAGACCGGTTAGGTCAAAGTCATCTCGGCAATCAACTTTAAATTCAAAAGCAAGCGATAAGGCACCGATCGGATCGAAAAAGAAATGGGTCAAATACGACTACAGATGGGTACCAAAGGTTCAATCTCCCAAATCTCCTAATGCTTCTAACGTTTCTTCATCTTCTGTTTGTGATAAACAGGATATGTCTTGGGAGAGAGTTCCTTGCACTAATGACAAAGGTCAACCCAATTTCAAAATGGACTGGGTTCCAAAGACCAACTGATCTCACTCTGTGTCGAAATAGCTATGGAGGCATATCATCAGACTTCGGTTTGTTGATAATGGTTGCTCCTAGCACATGATAGGGGACATCTCTCAACTGTACAACACTTAAAACTTTGTTTGAGAGTATGTGTCCTTTGCGGGAGAAAGGAAAGAAGGAGAGGATCACATGGGGTTTGTGCTTAACAAAGTGAAGAATTTTCGGATCTCATCTGAGATTATGCGTGCTGTTCTCAGACCTTCTGGATGTGAATTGAATCGGTGAATTACGGTTTGAGTTTTCTTCTCTATATTCCTGAGTTTATCTTAATCTGATTCATTTTAAAGACAAGTTTCTTTTATTTCCTTATAGTTTTTCATTAGTACTGTTTGGGAAGTGATATCAAAAGGTGATAATAGGCAATCTGAGTCTATGTAAAGTACCAAAGCTGAATTGTCTAGGCTCTGTGTTCGATGCGCTGGTAGGCACAAAGAATTTAATGGACTTGACTAGGCAAAGATGAACTTAAGAAATCCAATGACTTGACAAATCTTGTCCTAGGTAGTTCCGTTTAGCCTGACAATATGATGCTTGGATAGGTTGAGCAGGGAGATATACATGAGAATCCACCAGTCACATTAAGAGAACTCGTATCTGGAACTGTGGTTTAACTTTTCCTCGTTATACGGATTATGTCCTTAATTCTGGTATTGATAGGGCGACTGGGGAATTCTGATAAAGTAGGTTTGTAGAAAATTATTTTCTTTCTTTCTTACTGTTAGTCATATGTTGCCTCCTCTACGTGATTGGAAGAGATCCAACCTGGACTACAACATATGCAAATCTATTTCTCTGCATCTTATATCTATGAAATTCTTCCTCTCTGTGAGCCATATGCTGTCTCCTTTGTATGATTAACAATCCGACCTGGTACACATCATATGCAACCTTCTACTTCTCAATCCCTCTAAAAACTATAATTAATAATAATCTAAATCTATCCTCTCTATGAATAATAATCTGCTCACCTAAAGTAAGGAGTCTCTTGGAAGCTCTTGATTATTGGGGTATATCAGGAAGCGGGAAACACGTTCTAGTACATCTAAAATTGAATAATTCTAGATTGTCTGTAGATCTCGCTGCTCAAATTAGGTGGACAACAATATCCTTGGTCGTCGTCGGATGAATGTTCCTTAGGAAGTTTTATCTAGGAATATAGGATCAACTTGTCTTGTCACTTATAGCATGTCCAAAAATTTGGCACAATTTTTCGTGCTTAAGTGGACCACAATACCGGCGATCGACCAGATCTATTCATGAAGGGGAATGTACTGACAAACGGATTAAGACTATCTAACAACTTTGATCCCAAATATTTTTGTTTTAGTTAAATTTGTTCATAGTTTTCCTCTATGCACAAATTTAGGGGGAGAATTAAAAAAATTCAAAAATCAAACAAAAATCAGAAAAATTGAAAAATCAAACAAAAAATAGAAAATTAAAAATAAAAAAATAGTGTTATTTCTGTTATATTTTTTTTCAGAAAATATCAAAAATCCAAAAATATATTTTGTGTGATTTTTCTTTTAGTTTTGTTTTGTCTTGAAAAGTGATTTCAGACGTAGATAAGACTCATGGAGACTGTATCGAGATTTTTAAGCCAAAGCTTCATCCGTGATCATCGAAGAATTCTCATTCGAAGGAGCAAGAAAAGAAGATTATTCTTTCAACATTCAGTCCTTCAACCCCAGAAGCAAGGTGAAGCTGACTTCAAGATTATGTGACAGATTGCATTGAAGCCTCCTCAATCAGTCTGCTGTAATCTATAAACCTGTTGAAGTGATCCAAAAGATTCATTCTCTCTGTTCTCTCTGAAGATTCTCAAGCTAAAAGCGCTATCTTTCAAGAATCAGTACATCAAGCATCCTTACCCAATGTGTGTTCAATGTTAAATTCTGCAGAAATCTCAACTGCTCAAGATGAAGTCATTTATTGAAGATTCATATGTTCATCTTGATGCTGCGAAGAAATTTGAAGAGTAATGTTGAAGCCAAGCTCCCAATGAAGATTAACAAAAAAAGCTAGCTACTTTTTAGGGGGGGGGGGTGTTGGGCCAATTAGAAAAGAAAGCTATAAACCAATGGGGAGATTGTTGGGTCAAAAAATGTGGTTTATAATTTGATTTTCTAGGAAAATATATTTTTATGTAATGTTGTATGTGTTTGCGGTTTGTGTGTACGACCGTACACCCTATGTACGGCCGTACACAGGGTGTGCGACTGTACATACGTGTAGGGCTAGAGGTCCATATAAATAGATGTAATGGGTAGAGGAGTGCATGGTCAGAAGAAAGGAGAGGAGCATGTTCTAGAGAGAAGAATAGTGTGTGTGTGAGAGAATCTATTGTAAGGAGCATCATTCATATTATTGAATACATCATTAGATTCATCTTAATTTTTCTTCTTCTTCTCTTCTTATTTTGATCTAACATCATCCAATTGATTGGGATTCCACACCATCAATTGGATCTGATTGATACACAAGCAATTTTGGGGACTTACAATTAATCTACTCAATTGTGGAAATAATTCTTGAAGAGTATTGAAAACACGAATGCTCTTCATGGAATTTCGATTGCGAGATACTGGAGCTTGATCTTACAATATTTCTATGAGAAGGAGAGGATTCTGGTTCCTGATGATGAAGAAAAAGTTGTTTTTCATATGTATAGTTGTCCGAAGGATGCAACTGATGATGCTGAGGCGTTTCCAGTTATAGCTCGTATTCTAGATACAATGCTCAAACGAGTCGATCCTACGAACACAGTCTTTGTGACTTACTTGCAAACAATTGATACAACTGTTGAAACTGGAACTCTTTTGGAAAGGGAAGAGACAAAGTTCAAATGTACGAAGAAGACTGATGCTGGTTCTTCTGAGAAACAAATCAAAGAGTCTAAATCTACAAAGGTTACAAAGAAGTTACCAGTTACTGAAGCAGAGCCAATAATACCCGAAGTTTCAATTGTTGATACACCATTAACTCAAAAAGAAATTATTCCTTCGAAGACCGGTGTTTTTCAAAGAATCAAAATGAAATCCAAGCACAAGAGCCGATCTCCACTCACAAATGTCGTACGAAAGCCACATGTTAATCATCAGGGAGTCCTAATTCGTGAAATTCCAGCGCCCGTTTCTCCATCCTCAAAGAAATGAAGGGCTACTGATATGGCTAAACACATTTCTAAGAAGAAGAAGAAGAAAAGCAAAATGATCATCTTTTATGAGTCTACAGCTGATGAAGATGAAACAATTCCAGAAACTCCAGAAGCCAATCTTAACAAAGAAACTTCTACTCCTGCACAGACAGCTGTTATACCACCCGAAGATTCGGTTGCCAAGTTAGTTTCTGAGGAGGCACGAACTTCTGACATTCTTGTAAACGTATCTAATACGGATGCAAATGTTATAATGGGTGAGGATGTTTCGCAAAAAATTGAACAAGGTAAACCTTCGAATGTTACCTCAGAAAATTTTGTTTCTTTTCCTCCACAAATCACACCTGTCATACCCACTACTTCCACACTGATTCTCCTACCTTCGAAAACATTATCAAACAACCAATTACTTCTCTTTTTTCTTCACAATCCACTGATCCACTCACAACCACTTCACCAATTCAAGAGTCTATTTTTATGGAATCTGAGCATGAATCGGAAGGTTTTGGAGGCACTTTTGAAAACTTGGAGTTTGATGAAGAAGAAACAGATTTCCCTGATCATATGCTTATGACAATGAAGCAGTTCAAGATCTTGAATACAAAGATAAATTCAATTCTTCAATCACAAGCAGATCTTGGGGGAGGTAATTCAGTGATGAGTTTAGAAGTTGATCGTTTGTTAAAACTGCTTGAAGGGAGGATTAGCTCAAAAGTTTTGGGAATGATCAAAGATTCTGAGTCTCGTCTCTTGGATAAAGTTGATATATGTGATCATAACAATGAGATGAGGGTCAATTCTCAAAAGTCTGCATTTGAAGGTGATTTGAAAGATTTGAGAATGGTGGCAAAGGAACGTCATGTATTATTCATTCAAGATGTCAAAAATGTGAGAGTGGATGTGAATTTTAAACTTCAAGAGCTTCGCCAAGACATGGAAAAAGAGATTGTAGTTGTTCGCACAAAATTTTCATCTCTAAATCAGAAGGTGGATATAATTTGTGATGTTGTAACAAAGTTTGCTAAGTTGTATGAAAGTTTGAGTCCTCAAATAGCTCAACTTTCTACAATTGAAAACAAAAATTTTATGGAAGTTCTCACACTATTAAAGGAGCTCAAAGCCTTATCTTCAAAACCAGCTTCATCTTCTCAATTCTCTTCAGATGATCTCTTCCAGAAGTTGTCTCAATTCGAAGCCTTACTTCAACAACACTTGGCTCCTCTTTCCCGCATATCCAGCCTTCTTCCCACAAAAAATGCCCCACCTGTTTTTACAGGGGTGCAAGGGGGAGAAAGGAAGAGTGAAGGTTTGAAGGCTGTAGGTGATGATGCGAAGGTGGTGGGCGGGAAAGGTATTTCCTTCAAAGATCGCAACAACAAAACCAGTTATAGCATCTGCTGGTCCTATTTCTTCGAAAATAGTAACAACTGTGCCAATTATAAGACCAATTTCGAGAGGAATTGTGATTGGTAAATATGCTGATATTGGTGGGAGTGATTCAAAGGTGAAAGAAGTAATAGAAGACTCAACTTCGAAGGCAAGAGGAAAATCAATTTTGATAGAAAAGTCTAAGGAAGAAAAGAGGCCTGAGGTTGAGGCTGAACTGGAGAGGATGAGATTAGTACATAGTATAATGACTCAAAGAGCAAGTGATACTCCTGGCATGAACAAAGGTGATCCATCAAAGCATTACAACTATAAAAAAAATTGAAGCCAAGGTTGCATTTAATCACATGTATTCATTCGAAAAGAAGCCAAAACAAACCTACATTGTCACGAATACTGATGCAAGCCAACTGGACTTTCCAATTAATGAGATTATGTTCATCATGCCCCAGTTCAAAGCCGAAAGAAAGTTCAAAGAGAAGGATGAAGGAACTCATATGAAAATCAGGTTTTATGCAGTTCTTGCGAAACCAGCTGAAGAAGTGTGGTCATTAATAAAGATAAAGAAAGTTATCAACATAAAGAAGGATGTTGTTTTCGAAAACACTGTCCAAAATATGAAGTATGTGGTGGTCAGGGAGAATGGGAATGTTTGTGAATTTACAATTGCTGATTTTCCTTTAATGAACTAGTATGACCTTATACAAGTTGCAGATGAGTACAAGCTGGGAGTTACTCACATCAAGATCTTTATTGAAAATTATTATGAATGCTTAGCATTAACTGATGTGGAGTTAGCTACAAAAAAAGGATTGGAAATTACAGCTCCTGTGTATCCTTCGAAGACTCAAGCAGATTTAAAGAAGTATGTTGATGGTGAAATTTGCTGAAGCCATTTGGTTTAGTCTTCTCAGGGAAGGACAAGTCTGGGAAATCAAAACGATTTTTGTTCCAGGATGGTGAGGTGGAAAGGTACTCAACTTCGCAATATACGAACTTAATCGTTCGTATGAATCATTGTAAGAAGAATAATGAAGGAGATAAAAAGGAACTTAAGAAGATTATCTCATGGTACACTAAGATACGAAGATCAAATCCTTGTGTGAGACTAAACAAATATCAAATCCATGTGTGAGACATAATGATTCGAATCACATATGCTTCAGATATAAGATCGATTATATATGCTATAATATTCAATTTTCTAATTTTTAAAATGCTTAGATCATTATGAGAAAAAGGACTAGAATTTTGTGTAATTGAAGTTGTCAAACAATTGTCAAGAATATTCTAAGGCTATACCAAAGATTGGTTTCTTATGGACAATTAGAAGTATGATATTAATTTGGACGGACCATAGTGACTTGATTCTTGTCGTCTGGTAGGCCTTTATTATACCAGACGACAAGAAATTTAGAATTAGTAAAGTTTAGTCCATGAAAGGAAAGCTAAATTTGAAATTGGTTTTGTCCTAAACATTGTCTTACAATTGTAGGTGGAAAAGTTTTCGCTCTAATTTATGAGAATGGTTATGAGGAAAGAGTTTCGCTAGTAGATTTTTAAACATTTGATAAAGACCAGTATGGATATTGCTTGTATTAATTGCATTCTCAAATTCACAATATGATTATGACATCACTCTTCATATTTCGAATTGAGAAGAATGGCAAGGAATTATTTGAACTTTCATGACACATATCTAGAAGTTCTGAAAGGGTTTAAACTCATACATGTGCTATCCAATGAAGGTGTATAAGCTTAAGAAGTTGTAACACCGTAAATTTCAGAACAAAATTTTCAATTTTCTTATAAAACATAATTCCATTAATATTCATCAAACAACCATATTAATTATCCAAAATATGTCAATACAAAATCCCAAGATCACAATGTAAAACTCCGAGTGTGTGTGTGTACGGATCAAGCCAGCGCCTTCCCGCGGTCGTCACTAGTACCTGAAACAATAACATCAAACACTATAAAACACAAGGCTTAGTGAGTTCCCCAAAATACCACATATAACACATATTAGCCACTCGAGGCTATAACTCTGTGGGTCCGTGCACCCAATCTCTGTGAACCCTCAGGTTCTAGCTCTGATAAACATGCACTACATAAATCACATAGAAATAATGCAGTACAAAACATAACATACATAGCATACAATACTCTATCACATAACTCAGGTTACCTACTCAAGGTAATATAGTATAGTTTGAAGACTCACCTCGCGTATCTCGGTATCTCACGAATCCTGTAAATCCCTCGTGCTCGATCCTCCGAGCTCTAATCCTCCTATAACATTATATGCTTCTAATTAAAACTTTGTATCTCTAAGGTTGACTATTTATAAGGAGTCAACACAGGTCAACTCTGGTCAACGGTCAACGGTCAACTCTGACCGGACTCGGCGAGTACCATGGCGACTCGGTGAGTCTAGACGTTTTCACCACCCTCTGAAATCCTCTTACTACACGTCGAGTATCCCCCCTTTACTCGACGAGTTTCACCTGAATGAATCGTGGGGCCACCCCGACTCAACTCGCCGAGTCTCAAGGACAACTCGACGAGTCCAGGTTTGACTTAGTCCACTCGTCATCCCTCTCCGACTCACCCTGACTCATTGAGTCTACCCATGACTCGATTGGACCACTCGCTGAGCAGTCCCAAGGCAATCTTCAAGCTACTCGCCGAGTCGGATGAACAGACTCGGCGAGTCCATGCCATGCAACCACTCCAACTCGCTTCTAAGGTCAGATCTGCTTCCAAAAACTATAGATCTGGCCTCCCTCGACTGATTCATCACGTAAAGCTCCTATCTTGGTGCTCATAACACACCCTATAACTCAATAATGGCGTTTTTGACCCAAGGCATGAGGATTCCAATCCAAAGCCTCCATTGATCCCCAAAAAGCTTGGGTAAAGGGACACTCTGGACCTCTAAGGGTCCAGATCTATGGTTCCAACCTCATAAGGGACCAAAAGAGCACCAAATCTTGCCATAAAAGGGTTCAACAAACCCTAAATCTAGATAAGCAATAACAACAAGAAGGTAACTCGGATTTATTACCACAAAAGTGATGCTCTGGACTCCAAACCCACAGAAATGGCTCCTTCTTGCTTTCCCTTGGCTAGCTCTTCTCCTTTCCTTGCAACAATGGCACCTCCAAGGTCAATAATGGCCTCCTACTTAGCTCCAATGCTCACACTCGATTAGGGTTTCACTCAAGGGGCTGGTGAGCACAAATGACGGCCATTAGGCCCTTTAAATAAGTCTCAAACCCGAGAAATTAGGGTTTCATTACACAGCGCTGACTCGCCGAGTCCATATCCTAGACTCGTCGAGTCCAGGCGCGATCCTACGTCCAAATCCGCGTCCCTACTCGGCGAGTCTGAGCTCCAACTCGCCGAGTCCCCCTCACAAAACAATAAAATACAACTAACAAGATACCTGATAAAATCCGGCTGTTACAACTCTCCCCCACTTGGACTAGACTTCGCCCTCGAAGTCTCGCTCTAAAAACAGCTCCGGGTGCTGCTCCTGCATCATACGCTCTGGCTCCCAGGTCATCTCTGATCCCCTCCGATGTTGCCACTGAACCAACACCAGAG